TGAGGCTTTCTCAGCCAGGGAAGGATTTGGGAAGGCGGGGAACAGATATATGGACTCGCCGTTCAATTCTTTGTCGAACGGTGGGTGAAAAACGAAATCTAAAATCCACTCGAACGCTGCTCTCCGTCCATTTTATATAAGCCGACAAGGTTTAAGTAATTGGAATGAAATTTTAGTGGCACAAATATGTCACAGATGAACTGATACCGGTCGGTGTTATAATTCATACGGGCATTGGTTGCACCTCTGCGCTGGTCTTCGAAAAACCAAAAGCTTAGAAAACTAAGTTCCTCATTTCGTCTGCAAAGCAATTTGGCAACGACTTTATCGTATAGAACAAACATTTTTGAACAAAATCAGACATTTCTCCGAGCTCCCCACAACATTTTTTTATCAAACTGCACTGAAGTGATAAAATACCTTAAACCGTCAAAACAAGCAAAATTAACAGGGAATCATGAAGGGTGTGCTTTCTGAACATTTCGTCAACTGAGTGCAGTTTGATAAAAAAATGTTTTGGGAAGCTAACTGTACTGTTAAGCATTGCGTTTAGAATAAAAATCCTGATTCATCGATGATATAAAATGAGCAGAATCCCTCAAGAACATCTTCCATCCTATTCGCCACAGTATAGAAAATCATCTACCACAAATTATGTTAAATCAACACAAAATTTAGCATCATCGTCGTCATCATCTAAATTAAGATTGGACGTCAAAAATCGAAACAATTATTATAGAAAAAAATGCAAACAATATAACAGCATCAATAACAAAATTTTAATTAAATCTTCGCCAATTATCAACATAACTGAACCAACATTCTCCAACTTTTCACCAATGCATGTATGTATATAAAAACGTTTGTTTTTCATTACCTTCCTCACGATCATCGCAACTATCGAAAGTTTATAATAATCTTTCCGTGCAACTTGCGAGTTCAATTATTTAAAGTTATTCTATCAGAAAGTCGACTTTTTTATGTAACATCAAAATTGAGTTTTTATTGCATGGGCATCCTCTTTCAGAATCTATATAGTTGAGTAGTAGGGATTATAAGCCTAACCTACACTAATGTTAACAAATTGTTGAGATTTTCTAATCTGCCTAATAAAACAATTGAACAACAATCTGTATAGTTCTTTATGAAAATTTGAGATTTTACAAGATTTTCACAGATTTTTCTAAAAAGTTCCATCTGAGAGAGTTATATGGACTTCAAACTTATTTTTTTATGTTTTTCTCAAAAGACATCTCTCCCGCAGTAGAGTACATTTTTCTGAGGAATGATTCAGCGTAGTTTTATGAACTTATTTTTATTTGATAGCGAAAACATAGATGCGCAAAATTAAATGTGATCGATCACCATTAGGCATGCACCAGTTATTAACTGGTGTTGGGGCATCCGGAAGAATTACTACAAATCAGTTATCACGATTCTTTCAGAACTGCAAAACATCTAATTTTGTAGAAAAATGTTTGCTCTACAAAATGCATTTGTTAAAAGAATTCCAGAATCATTTCTGAGCATTCTAAAATGTACTAAATCACGGAAAATTAACTGTTCGAACAGTTAATTTTCCGTGATTTAATGTATTTTTGAATACTCCGAGTTTTCTAAGAAATGATTCTGGAATTCTTTTAACAAATGCATTTTGTAGAGCAAACATTTTTCTACAAAATTAGATGTTTTGCAGCTCTGACAGAATCGTGATAACTGATTTGTAGCAATTCTCCTGGATGTCCCAACATCAGTTAATAACTGGTGCATGCCTAGTCCCAACTGGGAAACTAGCAATAAACAATAATTGTTGTTCATACTAAAATAGAAAGTGCTGCTATTCATCACTTTCTTTAATTTAATCTCTTCCAGAATTCTATGAATTGAAATTTTGAAATGAACTTGTTAAGTAAAACAATATAAGATGAGTTTAGAGTCAATGATTTGTAACAAACTTTGATAATCAGTGAACCCATTATGAATTTCATTTTATTGTAGCCTTTCGGTGAATAACAGAGCGCAAAACCTTTTATGAAAATATTTTCGTGGTTTGTTATTCAATGTCAAAGGAAATACGTTCTTGTACAGTTTCGGGTTCTCGTCATTAGTGTCATATGTGATCATGACCGTATAAGGTCTAAAAGCTACAATAAAATGAAATTAATAACGGCTTTACTAGTTATCAAATTTTGTTCGGTCGAACAATATGAATATTTCTACAGAGATAGTATAACTACTCAAAAATGACTTCGAGCTGCATATGGACGTATTCTAGTGACCTCAAAACAACAAAAATATGTTCCTAGGAAAAAGATCAGATATACGACTAAGAGTCTGCTAATAACCGCTCATTGTAATAATATTTTCATCCTAACTTTCAGTGATTTTTCAAGGATTTCATGACTTTCTAAGGCGTTTTTAGTAAAAATAACACAGATAAATCGGAAGCCAATGGAATCATGAAGGTACGCCAACTAGACACTCGCCAATTGTCGAAGATCCACTTGACTTTCGCCAGATGACGAGCGTTCAGGGGGTGTATTGTTTAAAGTTCAATGTACTTTTGTCAATGGTGGGTTGAGTTGTATTGTCTCTCAATTCAAGTCACGTCTTTTTTTGTTTAAAAAAAAGTGTAATCTGCATTAAGAGACAATACATCGACGTACCTCTCGATTCCCAAGCCAGTAAACTTCGAATCTGTTCTCCATCATTCGATATTTAATCGCATTTCTTATCAATCATATACACATGTATATATAGGAAATGAAAGACAAGTTTAGTATACTCTGATTGAACTGGTTAGAAAAGTTAAATAAACACACTCTACAGTTAGAAGAAAGAATAAAAAAATAATAACACCAGTAATAAACAAGAATTCGAAACAGTTAACCTTTTAAAATTTGAAATGATGTCGTAACAGGCGTAAAAATTCTTCTCGATTTTCATCACTCAATGCTATAACTTGTTGTACAAGTTTATTTGGTGATGCCACACGAGCAAAAGTTGAAATCCATACGTTTGTAAATACTGCCATAATAATTTGACAATCAAATCTATCAACAAAACCACCATGACCCGGAATTGTAGCAGCAAAATCTTTAATACGAAAAGCTCGTTTAAAACCGGATGCAAAAAAGCCTCCGAATGGTCCAATACTAGAGAAAAAGAAACAATTAAGAATACTCTGTTCTATCAAATAGAAAATAGAAGAAAAAAATCTTTCGTACAAACCTTGAAGCAAATAATGATAATAAAATCGAATGTAATTGAAATGGGTACAATTGCAATGTACGTTTAAATAATGAAAATGGTTTTGGCATTGAATAAGTCGACAATTGAAATAATGGTAACGGTATACATTCTGTTGATAACATCATTTTCTCCTCATCGTAATCAAGTGGACAGACAAAAAACTGATAACGACATAGAATGCCAGCTAAGATAAAGCCAAAAACTATTGTACTGAAACCACCACCGATAAAACCTACAGTAATAAAAAAAACATTGTTGACAAACTACTTTCTATTTTTACCTAGAAGAACAAGTACAGAAAAGCTATTATCAACTGATCCTCTGACTTAGCTATGCACAGAGAACGACACAAAGACTTTTAACTCTCTTAAAATAATCCAGATATATAAATCTTTCTAATCAGATTACTCATTAAATTTTTTGATACAAAAAATTTTCTTTCAATGCATAAAGATCGCCCATTTTTACCATTAATATGTCTGAACGCATTAAATCGATAAAAAAAAATGTTCTGGCGCTTTCGCACGTCTTAAAAGTCAAGACATTTAGGAGCTATAATTTCTTTAATTTTTCTAACTCATATTTACGGATACAACCTTATTTAAATGTCTTATTAATTAATGCATTTCAACTTCATAAGATTTTTTATCGGTTCAAACATCGTGTCAAAAACATCGTTTTATCATTTCGATACATTCAAATGCCTTAAAAATGGACGCATAATAAGCTCAGATATTCAAATGTATTAAAAAAGTTTTCATTTATTTAGTACATTGAAAGGTTTTACAAGCAGTCTCAAGTGTTCACATGTTATAGAAATGAATACATATGAAAGTATGAACGCTTTTCAATAACCAAAATAGTACTCACATCTTGCATAAAAACATTTTATTTTTTTCTAACAGTAATATTCGATTTCTCTCAAAATTTAGTTTGATTTCGAGTGATTGTTTCTTGTCAATCAGATACACTATAGAATTTATGGATATTTTCGAAGACTGCAACATTCTCTTAATATGATCATTTATAAACGTCGATGTATCTTCGTGAAGTAAACAATTTTAATTGCGTTTGAATGTATCAAAGTTTTCAACGCATTGAAAAGCGTTGAATTAAAACGTTAAAATAATTTAATGTGTGTAAATGCATTAGAAATAAATCTTAAACTAGTTAACGCTTATAAGCATAATAAAAATTTAACACCATTAAATGCATTAAAAAGCTGGTTAACGCATTTAAAAGAAATTTTTTATATAAAAAAAAAATCAATGGGTAAGATGTACAATTCATCTTTTGAAATGTTTTATTTACCTTCCCAAGTCTTTTTTGGTGATAATTTTGTCAATGGCGTCCGTCCATAAAAAAATCCAAACATATAAGCCATTATATCATTAACAATAATTAATGATACAGGGAATAAAAGCCATATCATTCCTTCACATATATTTTGGATCATTAGATGTGAAGCTGTTACCAGAATTAATAATGTTATGTGAGTATAGCCGAATAATGTAAATTCTTCAAAAAAAAAGACAATAAGAATACACATTAATAGATCTATTCATTAGGTAGTAGGAAAAGAAAACTTACGTTTTAAATAATAGGTCTTTTTTAAACTGAGGACAAATCCAACAAAACCAGCAGTATATAATAAAAATGAAATCATTCGATGGTAACTGACAAATGGTTGCAAAAAATTATTTTTATTCATCTAAACAACGAAATAAATTAGAAAATCTAAATATTTAACATCTGATAACTTATTTAAAATTTGTAAACTGACCATAAATCCAAAATAATGTATTAAACTTTCACCATAAAAATAATAATTTGATGTAAATAAAAAATACCATGATAATGTACGAAACCATGGTAAATTATGTGATTTATAGACAATATAACCAATATTGATTATTTCCTGAAAACATTTAATTTGAACAATTAATACTAATAGTGAAACTACTAATGGTCCCATTGATATGACTTTAGCGAATGCACCTATCATAACAGCTGAAAATACACCACGTATTACATAATTACGCCAACGTGGACCTAAAGTACTTAATAAATCATCCAAATATTTCATGTACGGATTTGGAGTTGATGTATCATCTTCCGATGGTAAAGCACCTGAGAATGAAATTGATTGAAATTTCATGATTTTCATAAGATAGAGAGAAAGCTTACCACTGGGATGGGACGGTAATCCTTCAATATCTTCATCTTCAGTCGTTTGTATGTCAGGACGTAATTTTGTGTTATTTAGACTTGTGTATTGAGTAGGAAGTACGAACGGAACATCTGATATTGGCTGTGTATTTGATTTGTGGACAGATGGTGGATAATCAACACCAACTCGCTGACGTAATTCAGCATCAGTACTCATTTTCTTTTCTTTTCAAACAGTGTTTAATTGTATTTTTCACTGTACATTTACGATATATAAAATGAATAAATGATTTTGTTTATTCCTAAAACAGAAAAGAACTGTATGGTTCAAAGAATCTCATAAAACTTATTTGGATTATCAATAGCCGATTCACGAGCTGAGTTAGGTATTACTACACATTTTAAGATGATTACCGATATGCACGCAGTGAAAATATCCCTCTATGTGAAAAAAGCATTTAGCAGATCGATAATTTTTTTTATTTATGTGCAATGCGAATTCCGCAACAGCTAATTTTCTCTTCTTTTATCGACTGTAAGGATTAATTCAGCACGAAAAAAATCATTTTGATGCTGGTGATGTAAATTACAAAAATAAATCAGAGTGGTGTTTTGAGCACGCATTTAAAACTGTTGGATGAAAAACATCCACAAAAAATAGATGGTTTTTGATGATAAATTTTGTAGAGTTTATCTAATTTTTCAAAAACTAAATTCAAAACTTAATATAATTTAGAATGTAAAGTAAAAAATGAACACTAAATAGAAACTAGCGGTAACAAAAGGGGGACTAATCCAATGTTTAAAATGAACGGATATACAGTTGCTGCTATTTTTCTGTTTACCAAAAAATTCTTCATAATAGTTAGACAACTTGCGGATTCTTTATTAGTTTAAAATATCCTTGTTTTCATGTTTCCGTTTTTATGAATCATCATACATAATAAAAAAATGAGATCAAAACAACACAAAAGAAATAAACCAAAATGAACGTTTTCCAATAATAACGAGCAATAATGAAACAAAATAAACAGCGAAACAAAGAAAGAAATGTGAAAGCGTACACGAGTAACTTCAAGTTGACATCTATTTATATCTCTTGCAGCACAAAAGAATAAAACAACCAAATAAATCAAGAAAATGTGTCCAAACAAAGTTGACTGTTCAAACTCACACATACACATGCAATGGAACAAGAAAGAAAAAACATCATCATTTTAGCAAAACTTATGTCATGTAATGAAGAAAAACAAACGGACATGAATCTTACACATAAGCTAACTCTAAATATAAGAAAAGACATAGAAAAACAAAAATATATCATGATAGTAACGAAAAAACAAAATAAACATATAAGAAGTGAGTGTCGTTTGACAAACCATAGTCGAAATAAACTTTTAGTGGTACCTTCATTAAATAATAATACTGTCTTGTTTTCTTTATGGTACTAATAGGAGGTACTAATAACTAATTATATATATATAGAAAAGTTTAAACTGTAGCACCACACACTTAGAAATGTTTAATCTAATAACATCGATACGATGTAAAGGATGGTAAATGTTAGTTTATCTGCCCTGAAGACTTTTTCAATGTGAAACGAAATTAGGAGACGTCAAAAAAAAAAAATACTACCCTTTTTTCATCTCATTGCAAATACACCGAGAGTGGAAATATTCCTAAAGACACATGAACAAGAAAAAGAAAAATTGGCATCGGAAATAGAAAAACAATGTAGCATTTTAACAGAGCAAGAAATAGCATTATAAAGTTTATCCACGTTAAAAAATTAAATACACAACATTTTTGTATGAAAGAAAAAATCAATCGATTTTTTTTTCTGTTACTTAATTGAAACAGATAAATTATTTACAAGAAAAAAAAGAGAAAAGAGAGTTTTGTTGCAGTTTTCAAATAAAGATAAATATCTACAAGCAACACGTTACACATTTTTGGTATAAAACGTATAAACAAAATGAATATGTGTATCAACAGTCGTTCATATGTATACATTTGTTGGGTGCCTCGTCAGACAAAAATCTAAACGATAGAAAATAAAATTAAAGTAGTTTCTCTTTGACGGCAAACGAAATATAAATTTAAATTTTGAAAACATTTAGAGAAAAATACAATTGTGAAAGAAATTTTATACAAACTGATCAATGACAGAAACCTATCTCAGTCTAGGTAGGTCTGATCTGAACCAAATTTTCAGGGAATGATGAGCATGTCAAAGTGTGGTTTTTTTTGGTGTCATTTGCGACTGTTCGTGAGAGGACACCACAACAAGGGCCAAAAATAGGCGTCTAGCACGCACAGGAATTCTCATTCGAGGTAAATGATGCTCGGGCTATTTTTGTTTTGCAGCAAACACTTCTGCCTAGGAGTTGACAGAGCCGGATTTTTGAATTTCTCGTTTACTGATTTCTGATGCTTCATAGAACTTTAAAATCCGAAAAACCCTTGGAAGGTTTCTCAGAAATCCTCATTTCTATAAAAAACAGACACATACTTTAAAAATCGGACTCTGTCAACTCCTAGCTATAGGTATTATCTACAAATCAACAAAAAGAAAAACTTTCTCCGATGTATCTCTACGAAGAATTTGTGCTTGACGAAAGCCCTGTAGCTAAAAAACAGTCTTAAGAGAGACGCAAAATAAGTTTTGATTCTGTTAAATGCATTTTACTTAAAAACTGTTTGAGCGTTAAATAATTTATTGATATTTTGCTACAGGTTATCGGTCATGACGGATCTAATGAACATGTGCACGGCCATATGTGGCACATGCGTGTGCTTATGCAATACAAGGGCAAAAAAGCCATTTTTTGTTCGATAGGGCTTCTGGAAAACTCGCTCAAAACCTATTCTATCGGCACAAAAATAGAATGCAACAAACAAAACTAGAATGCATTGAACAGTCTCTTTCTCTTAATTTGTAAGAAATACGAAACATTAAACATACCATCACAATTTACACTGTCTAAATCTGAAGTAATTTTGAATTTTAAAGCAAATTAAATAAAAAATACATTAATTGACCCGTCTGCGTTTTGGCTTCTTGCTTTTTTTTGATCGATTTTTCGAATGATCTACACCTTAAGAAATAAAATAGTATACAAGTAAGAATAGATAAATAATACTCACCATTTTCTTGTTCTGCTTGTTTAGGAGGTTCTGAAACAAAAAATATTATTAATAGGGAAAAATGATAATGAACAGAATCTGCAACGAACCTAAACGATAGCCGACTAATTCACACCAACCAATTGGATAAATATTTGTCGATTCACAATCAATCCATTGTTCATCTAAATAACGTAAGATTTCAATTATCTATTGTCTTTCAGTTTTAATAGCTCACTTACAGTCGTCATCCCAGCCATCAAAATGCACACGTATCAAACCATCAAATACATTGGCAATCGTTGCAACACACACAAGACTAACAAAACGTAATCATTATTGAGATTCTGATACGAATAGAAAAGAAAAATTCTTACTGTGGTGCCATTAGATCGACAGCTTCAATTTTCATTCCGATTTTAAATTGATTTATTGTTTTATCCTGGAAGAACAGAATATTATATCTACTTATAAAATTCCTCTATTTTTTTATATTTGACGTACTTTCATTAGACGAAATAGATCATTTGGTGCATAAACGGAATTTGTTTCTTTAAGATATTTTTCCCAGTCAAATTCTCCACGATAACCGATGGGCGGTGATAGTGGCATGTTATTTAAACGACAAAAATTAATTGGAAATATTAATGCTGAAGTCGAATGATAACAAAACCAATCCGAACCATCTTCGGCACTACTACCATCGATGGACAACATAAAATAACCATTTTTTAATACCTTAAAATATGAAAAAAACTTCTTAAATTTTTACTCAATTCATGATATCTTAAGCGTAAAGAAAACAACCTTTCCAATTGTAGCTGGACATATTCGAGACATTTCTAATGGATCAACTGCTTCTAATTTCATTCCGGCTTTAAAACATTCGTCTGGTGAGTTGCTCACCGCTCGTGTCTAAATAATAAATAGCCATTATAGCATTATACATTACTCAGTAATCAGCATATTTTGCTTAGTTCTGTTAACATAGTAGTATTCTTTTTTATTTCTAAACAAAAATCACATACTTTGCGAAATAAGTCTGGACTAGCGTAAGTATGATTGTATACATTTGTTTGCATTATTTTTGATGACTCATTTTTGTAAGCTAAAAAGAACAAAGAAAATTAGCTCATAATAATAATATGAATGAAAAAATAGAATGCATACCATCGTCAGCTTCAATTTCGTGTCCTGTAGCGATAGACCAACCAACAGGATGTATCAGTTCAGAACTATAATGTACCCAAAAATGTTCTCCAGCTGTCTATCATAGAAACAAAAAACCATGTTGTAGCCTATTTGATCGTTTGTGTTCGTAAAAACGAGAGTTTTTTTAATTTAAGAACGACATGTTCAGATGCGAGTATTAAGTGTTTAGACGCTTTTTTTTGGAAGGTTGAATTTTTAATGTATTTGAATCCGACAGGTTTAAACGCGTTTGAACACGTCCAAAATGAAGCATCTGGACATGTTTAAAATATAAAAACTATTTATATAGGAGGAATGATCATAGCTGTTTCTAACTTACATTCTCATAATTAATTCTTAGTCGTCCTCCAATCACATCGGAAATTTTTCCCACTCGCATACGAGAAACACGATATTTATCAATAACTTCAAGCACCATATTCTTTTTGAATGGACAACGTAATGAATCTTGTATCTACAAGCAAAAAGAAAAAGCATAAAATCTAATTTACTTATTTAATAATAAACATACCTTTCTACGAAAATTATCTGGAAGAGTTTTTGCACCGGTTAATTTATTTACAAGGAATGTTTTCCAATCAGTTTGACGACTTTCGATATCTAAAACAATTGAAGTTAGGAAAAACGGTTTCCACATGTATAATGTTCATATATACTTCGTGGTGGAGCAAGTTTGATTCCTTGTTGTCCACACCATCCTACTGTATGTACCTAGAGGAAAAATGTGCAAATGGTAAGATCTTTTTAGCTACTCTTAAGGTTTCAAGTGGTCCAAGGACTTACATCTTTATTACATAAATTACACCAAAAATCATGACTACTATCGTCTTCATATCCTTCGTATCGTAACAAAGCCAAGTAACCTTCAACAGTAAAAACAAAGTAATTTTTCTACAAAAAAAGTATCATAAAGATAAACCTTGAAATTTAATAACAGTTGCGAACCAAAAGATTTTTTCTTTGTTGTCACAATCAGTATTCAATACTTCCACTTTCATGCCGGGTGTTAATTTTGACCATATTTCTGCTAGCGGAGCCTATTAATAAACGAATAACTTTTGTAAATCATTCTTTTCCAATGCTTGAACACCCATACTCACATGTTTGAAATAACTAACAGGTGCCGCTTGAGAACCCTCTTGTTTCAAATATTCTCCCCAAGTAAATGACATAGCAGCTAAAATGTGAAAAGACGAAAACTGTATATAGAGACAACTATGTTGTTTTTTTCTAAAGAGTAATCTACCTCCATTTGTTTCTTTTTTTGGTGGTTCATTTGACGGAACAGAAACCAGTGGAGGCTTCGAAATCATAACTGTACCATCAGCGGACATTGAATAAAAAGAAAAAACTTTACAGATTTAATCTAAAAAGAATCCTCATTCAGTGTTAAGCGCATGAATGAACATGTATTATCATTCTATCGAGAGAAAAACCAAATATAGTTTACCATGTGCATCTTTTATTCAAAATATTTATACTTAACTACCATCAGAAACAGATTGTACGATCGCAAAGGGAATTATGAACAAATCATTATCGACTCTTATAGGGAGACTAACTCTCTCTCCATTAGAAAAGTAATCAAGATTGTAAGTGTGAGCAGTAGTTAGTTTAACGGGAGTAAATCGTTACGTATGTCTTCAATTGAATTTAATCTAAATATTTTTCGTAACCCAACGAATCTGGCAAAAGCAGATGACAAGGCTGATCTATTATTTCGAACTTTGTATTCTACCCGATGAAACAGTCCAAATAGTGTTTTTAAACAGCACTGTGTACTTCAACACAGTAGACTCTCTATAAGTTACTAGAGTACAGTACTTGGGCGAACGGCAGACTTTGATGCCTGAAAAACATTTCTGCAATCAGATTTTAAATCACAAGAAAAAGTAAACTACCTCAAAAGTTTCGTAAGTAGTCTGAAATTTATCCTAATTCTTTGACATGCTCAACGCTTTCATTCTTCAGTCAGAAAAGAATCCATGTTTTTTTTGTAGGCAGCAATTAGCTCACCGAACAATTTTATCTCAAATAAACCGCATTAACAATTGAAGTCAACCGACCGTAGAGGAGAAGGCGATCGTGAGGGTCCGAATGAAATTTTTTATTGGTTAACTATTCCTCTGAATCAAAGAGTCAAGTGACTTCAAATAGAAATGTAGCTAAAAATGCGATGTTAGAAGTTACCTGCTATGGCAGGTAAGTTAGCATTCGTTGAAAGCGAGCTGCCAGAAGAAAAAATCTTCAAAAGGCTCAATATGGCTACTCTAACCAATAGAAGAGTGTGCGAATGACAACATTTTCTCTTTTATCACTAGATACATTAAAACGAAAAGAAAAAATAAATGTAGTAGAACCGTTTCTTCCATATAGTCTACAGCACATGTCTCTTTCGATTCAATGTAAGAAATCAAAGAAAAAACGAAAAATTAATAGAACCAAGAAAATGTTTTTTCTCTTTACTATAAAAAGAATTGTTGACAGGTTCAGATATTACGTAGTCATAGTGTGGGAGTTAAGGCTAAAAAGCAAAAGACAAATTCGCTGTATATATTATACCAGATAGAGAACAGAATGTGTACGCCCAATCCACGGTGACGTGACGCTAAAATCACTTATTCACCATTGAACATGTTGTAACTTGAGCCTCTACGTCAAAAGGGCTTTAAAAAACGTTTTTAAAGTTAAAAATATATTTCTAAATAAAATCGAGTCAAATTCCCGATAAAACCGATATTTTAAAAAGATAGACTATAGATCACGCTGGTGTGCAGTGCGACTATTCTGCTTTCCTAATCGAGTACATATAGACCTTTTTGAATTTCTATCGAGAGAAGTTACTGTGTCTAGAGATGTAAACCGATTGAAAAAAGCGGTTCCGCCTGACTAAAACTCAGAGCTTTCGGCGGCTGGCTGCGTATCCGTCGCCTTCGTCTGGCTGATCCTTCAAAACGAGAAATAATGCAAAAATTATAAAAATGCCGTTTTATTTCATTATATTCACGATCACAGTTAACTATTATCTATTATTGAATTTCATATAAAAAACAAAAGAAGCGACACTGAGGAAAAAACACGTAGAACTAGGACGTACACAATAATATAACAAGAATAACGACAAAAAGGCTAGTAACAAAATGTTACCAGTACTCCTTCCCGTAGAAAGAAAAAAAGAAAAAAACGAATGGCTGACTGCCAGCTGGATCCATCGAGCCTTTGGACTCCATTGGCGGCAGTGCCTCAAAATTTCGCATTCGGCGCTGCTGCAGCTGTGGCTTAGCCGATCGGCTTTTATATCTATGTGTGTCTGAACGTAAAGAAAATAACAAATATGGCATAGTCTATAGACTTATAAACTTAATAGAACCACACGTGTCTGGTCGTTCGCTTCTATCGAAGAAAGAAAAAAAGAAAAAGAAACAGAACGAAGGAAATGTTGTTCTGTTTCGTTTTTTTCTATAAAACAGAATGCTGTTCAGATATTACGTAGTCTCAGAGGGGGGTACTAAAGCCAAGATGAAAAAGAGAAACTTTCTGTGTATTCATATATGCCAGATAGAAACATAATAAGCTGCAGTGCACACTACCGTCATCTGTAGTATAGTTTTGAAAATATCGGTTTCGACCGAAATACAACTAGATTTTTATTCTAAAACAAATTTCTAACTTAAAAATTTTTTTTGGAGCCATTTTGACGTAGAGACTCAAGTTAGAAAATGCTCAATGGTGAAAAAGTGATTTTAGCTTCCCATGATCTGCAAACATAGAACTACGAAATTAAAAGAATAGGACGATTGTGATCTAAAAAACAATATTTATTCAATAGCAGTAAATGTATAGCTGGCACTCGGTGCAGATTTCGTCTGCTCATTGTCTCTATTGAATGCTATCCCTATAAAAAAAGTTCTAGTGCGGCACTGGTAAAAATCAGTGTTTCTAATGATTAGTGGTCCCCGTGAGAGCAAAGTGGTCTTCCACTTTGTAAAAATGAAATCCACTCTGTTTTCCACTTTGAAAGTAAAAAAAACCACGTTGCGAACCACTTTGCTTTCTAAAATTTCCACTTTGTTTTCTTCTCTAGTTTTGCCATCATGATTGATCTTATTAATTACCACGTTTGTGTACGCTCTGCTGAAAATTCTCATTAGAAACACTGGAAAGGTCCATGTTTTAGAACCCAAGCAGAAAACAGTTTTATAAACGCTGCTTGCTGATACTTTATTCGAGACCACTTTGCAGTTTAGCACAAAGTGGTTAGTGCCACTTTAGGCTTCAGAGCAAAGTGGTTCAATCCATTTTGATTACATTCTCATTAGAAACACTGGTAAAAATCAGTGTGGCACTGCTAGTGCGCACCGGTGCGCATGGCATGCCATCGGTCACTGGTCCTGGCTGGCACCGGTGCGCATGGTATGCCATTGGTCACTGGCCCTGGCTGGCACCGGTGCGCATGGCATGCCATCGGTCACTGGCCCTGGCTGGCACCGGTGCGCATGGCATGCCATCGGTCACTGGCCCTGGCTGGCACCGGTGCGCATGGCATGCCATCGGTCACTGGCCCTTTATTTAATCAATTTAATTAGTTCTTTATTATCGTTGTTTATGCTGAATTTTGTATTAGAGCGCGGTACTGATCAGTACCACATCGACATGCCAAAACTACGCGACATTGCCTCGGCACTTCTCTTATGAGAAGGAAAAGATGAAGTCAGAAAGACATTCAAAATATTAGAAGTAGACTGTAACGTTAATATAGACAGAAATTGACAAAACAAAATGGTGATTGAAAACAAAACTTCGGCACTGGCCAGATTTTTACATTCTTTTTGGCACTGGTGCGCATCGGTGCTCAGAAAAAAAATTATTCGGCACCGGTGCGCACCCGTGCACAACCAGTGCCGATAAAATATTTTTTTGCAGGGATATTTTTCTGCAATGTTACTTTATTGTCTTGATAAAAGTGTTTTTAATGATCAAGCGAGAGAAGAATGGGGTTCCGCTTTGAATAATGAATTTCCACTCTGTTTTCCACGCTGAGAAAAATATATCTCACTCTGTTCCACACTTTGCTTTTGAGAATTTCCATTTTGTCTTTTTTACAAGTTTTCTGCCTTAGAAAAGAAGACGTACGCAAGCTTCTAGTTACGTTTTGTTTTGGATGAGTTAGCTAAGATGATTGACAGCAGGACGTCTCAGAATTGGCAGTGTGTTAGATGAATTTGTGATAGATCGATCATCTTCCTCATTTCAACAATCTCAATTAGAAGGTCAAATTAAGGATTATAATCATGTTGTACTATCCGGATTACCGCCACAATCGTTAACTAATAACAACAATATTACAAATACATACAGTTTTATATTTCAGCAGGGGCGTCTATCCTGTGGGACGTTTGAGGCTCAATGCCTCAAGCAAAAGTAATATAGTACGCTTTTTTGCTGTAGAAATTCATTTTTCAGGTAATACACTAGGAGGTTCGACCTCCTAGTGTACTACAAAATGCGTCAAATATTCGTGTGGGGGTAGACGCCGCTGCATTTCAGACCAAAGTTGAAAATCTTACTCTGATGTTACCAGCAAAGTGGAAAGTTTCACTCTGAAAAAAAATTCTTATTAAGAACATTCGATGATAGTATTATTGGATCTTAACATATCATAAATCGTCGTTAAACTATCATTTTTATTGTCAGTCAACAATTTGATCAAGATAAGCTTTCATTAAGTGCCTGTATATAAATCACATTGACGCTAGTGCTCGAGGGAAGTTTTTCATGTAAGGCTAAGACTATGCGAAGACTAGCTTATTCACAAAAAGTGAGAGTCATCAAATGTCATCGATCTATAATAACAGCGATTCAAGCTAAACAACAACAAAAAGAATCTATAAATAGAGAAATTAAAACAATAGAAAACTGAAGAGAGATAGAAAAGAATGAAAACACAAGAGAGTAACACCACTAGGCTTGTTTTATAACTGTAGATATGGCTAAATTCTACTGTAAAAGATACTGAGATAGAGCTATTTTGAATGACGATAAAGAAGATCAATGAATGACTAATTCCGGAATTTTATTCTGGTCCGTGACTGTTGAATAAAAGAAGGAAGAAGAAACGATTTGTAGAGAAAAACTATTGACATGAGGTGGAATACAAACATTTTTGGAATGATGACAACGTAACGAAGAATAATGAGGACGATTAACAGTATAGAAAATGGAAAGAGGACTAAGATGATGATAAATTTTGAAAACATATACCAGCTGGAAATATTTACGACGAAGTGACAGATTTGGAAGAGATAATTGAGACACAAGTAAAGAGGGGAAAACCGGTAGTCAGAATTGCGAGAGATAATTCGAGAAGTAAGGTTGTTTACAGAGTCTAGAGCAGAAAGAGACAACGGCACAACAATAATCAATTTTAGGAAGAATAGAAGAGATATAAATTCGACGCCGAACCTCCGATAGAGCTAATGAGAAGACAGAAAAGAAAAGAAAAAAGTAAACAACTACTCACAACACAACGGGACAATTTTCCAACAAAAAGAATTAGGTGCAAAATCGAAAGCTGTTTTGTGAGTAGAAGCAACATATGCAGTTTTCCATAGAGCAGAAAAATTACTAGAAAAAAGGCACAGATGAAAGATAAAATGAAGATGAGGTGATAGAATATCAACACATGAAGAGAGAAATGAGAAGAAAATTCCATCAATACCATCAACTGTAGACTTTTTATCCAACTTCCGGCCTAAACTCTCAACATCTCGCACGGCGAAGTCAAGCTGTTTACTCATTGTTGGCAAGTCTACAGTGGCAGAGGACGCAATTTGACCCTGGAGAGAATAACAAGAGGAAAAATGGCAATGGAAAAACTCAGCTTTGTCCGTCTCTGTAGAAACAGATTTAGAACCGAGAAACATAGATTAAGGTAGCGTGGAATGAGTAGAAGATAATTTTTTGATAGAACTTCAAAATTGTGCGAGGATCGAAAAGCAAAGAGGATAGAGAACGAAGATAAAAAGATTTTTCACGACGCGAGAGAGAAAGACGAAATTCCATGTCTTACGAAATTCGGTGGATAGCATCATTTACGTTCTCAGTCCAAAATATGGACGGACGTATCAGCAGCATCGACGGTGATCGGAGTAAGACCATCTGGTACATGAGAAAGAAAACGCCATAGTTTCAAGCACTAGGCTTTTTTAAAGTAATAAGGATAAGCAGTAAAAGCGGAAACAGATTGAACAGGGAAGGACATCAAAAGTAGCAGATAAACAAAAATGATGAGAACAGTCAACATGAGAAAACAAAAAAAGAAACATTCTTCCAAGAAGGGAAAAGGATATAGTCAATACGTGTGTTAGACGTAGTAGTTACAGGAAAATCAACAAAAAGAAAATAAGAAAGAGTTTGACAGATTACGGATTGTATATCTTTCAGACGGCACAAGCAAATTCAAGTTTAGCACACAACACTCGATGAAGAAAAAGAGAAGAAAATTTACAGATAAAATTGTCAAGGACAGCGAGAAAAAAGTCAACAGAAACAGACTGCAAACGATAACAATTACAGCGAAGAAATTTAATCGAGGCAGAATACACAAGAATTACTAAAACTTCAATAGTTAGAAATAGCGGTTATAGAATACTGGAAAGAGAACATGTATGTCGCAACATCTGCTTGTCGTCGATATCGGTCAAGAGAGTAACCTGGAAGAGTCTCCTCATCACTCATTATTGCGTCGAGATTCGTTCCTTGAAATGGCAAGATGTTAAAGTTACTGGAAGAAAAGGAAGTTTTGTCTGAAATGAAGCCAAAAGTCTTAACAAGACTTTGGATATTGTATGAAAAAATACGAAGTTTATGAGAAAATGTAAAGTCACTCTCAGAGAGTCGCATACATCGGTATTTGTTAGACGATTGATTAGAACGCTTTGTTCTCGATTGATATTATTATCATTAACACTGTCATGATTATTATTTTCATTACTACTACCACTATTATTGATATTAATTCGAGGACGATTAGACGAGCGATTTGAACAATTTTTACTAATGACTCTAGCTGAGTGAACTTGTTGTTTGATTATTTCATCGTTGACGAGTGTTGTAGGCTTGTTGAGACCGTTGTTTTGTCAAGTGTTGACCAATGTAACTATTTTGATAAATTGATCAGATGCATTTTTTATCAAAGACGCCTTTGCCAGGATCAATGAACGAACAGATAAGTCATTAAAAGAAATACCAAGAGGTGGTGGATAATCTGGATAATCGGTGTTTGTTGCCGACGGAGTTTTAAATCGCCGCACCGAGTTACTAGCTGAAAGACTGACACCAAGATGATGTTGAACGAAAAAGAGACAACTCTTTTTGACTTGGATGGAAGACAAATTCTTTGCGATGATGTTTTTTCATTGCTTCTCTCGCTTAAGTTTTTCATTCAATTCATCGAGATGATCAGCAAGTTGATCCTCCTTACGCCTAATGTTTGGCATTTCACGTTCAATCGTATCGATTCGAGCAGATAACGTTTGAAGACAACGAGGTGGAAGGTGATCAACGGATTTATCCTACATAAGCAAGGACACAACAAAAGAAAGTAAACGTTTAGTAACTTATAACATCTGATAAATAGAAGCCTTAGTGGTACCTGTATAACTAAAAACACAAATAAAAGAGAATAGAGCCGGCGACTGTGAGTCACCGAACTTCGAAGAATCGTGCGTTTTATGTCGCTTATTCATCATGATAGCGAGAGAAAATAATAAGAAAAGGAAGCAAAATAAGTCACATGTCATACGAAATATATCGTTGTGGTTCTTTCAATGTGCACCTCACATATGTGTTTCTCTCTTTATGAGAATTTGTACTATAAGCTCATGTAATGAGTGTTTATCTTGGCCCAATAATTTTTCCATCAATCAAGTTTAAAAAATTGATCAATCAATTTTCTTTTCTACATGCACGTGATATCAGCCATTATTGACGGGAGAAATTAACGGCTAAGCGGAAAATAACTAAAAAAATGACAGAAGTAGGAACGAAAGAAAAAAGGTAATTATTAGTAAATGTAATTTTGAATGAAATTTCTTTTGGTGTTGCAATTTCTTGGTAGAAAGAAATATATATGGGAAGAAAGAATACATTCAAATATTTTTTTTGTTGTTGTTATGCTGCGCTAACCTTGAAGGTGATGAAAACCTGTGCTTTTGTGGTTTAATTTTTCATTCCTTCTCACTTGCCCTGAATTCTATCAGTTCCTTATAGATTTTAGAGAAAAGATTAATCAGTTGGTTTTTTTTTAGAATTTAACATAGCTTATTTCGTATTTAATCATCATTCTTTTTTGGTTTTAGACTTTCAGTTCAGTTAACTTTAAATACCTTTCTATTAGCTCTGATAGCACTATCAAAAAAGGAAAAGTATGGCTCCTAAAAGCAAACGTTTGTCTAAGTCAACGCGTGCTGGCATTATATTTCCGGTCACACGTATGCATCGTCAATTAAAGTCAGCGCAGGTTGCAGCTCGACGTGTGACAAAAGGTGCTGCTGTTTACCTCGCTGCTGTAACCGAATATCTTGTTGGTATGGACTTCTTTTCCTATACTACTGCTCTTCAATGTTTTTTTTTTGTTTTAATTAGCTGAAATGCTCGAATTAAGTGGAAATGCTGCTCGTCATAACAAACGAACACGAATTGTACCCCGACATATTTTACTGGCTGTTGCCAGTGACGAAGAACTGGACAAAGTAAGTAATTAGTTGCTTTAATCTTTTCTTTTCCGAATATGGCTGTGGGATGTATATTCAGCTGTTGTTAAAAACAATATCATACGCATTATTTTTAGCTTTTGAAAGGGGTTACTATTGCGCAAGGTGGAGTGCTGCCGTCCATTCATCCATTTTTGCTGCGTAAATTTGCGCAAGCTAATGGTTCGGCGATAGTTAACAGTACATCATCTATTACTATTGGAAAACCAACAAAGCCGACTGGAAAACCATCGGCAACAACCCCAAAAAAGAAACCATTGTTAACCAAAGGTGCAGGAAGTTTTACAGTATATTGTGCGCCAAAATCAAAGGTAACCTGTTTTTAATCACTAATTTTAATGGAAGGCATCAAAAAAGCATATGTGCTATTTCTTTTTTTCAGGCAGCCGCCTTAAAAGGAACGGCACTTACAACGTTATCAGAAAGAGTTCTTAATCTCGGACAAAAAGTAAGCTAGTTGATAATAATTAGTTCGACATTTTACTTTAACCCTTACTTTTTCCTTAGCTGACAGTTGTTCAGGGAAACATAGTAAATATCAAAGCCGACGCTATCGTTCATCCAACGAATAATTCATTGTATATGGGTGGAGAAGTTGGTAAGTATAATTATCTGAGCGTTGTTCAGAAAAGATCTATCAGATTTGTTTTCTTATTTTAGGTAATGCTTTAGCGAAAGCTGGAGGACAACAATTACGTGACGCTGTTTCAAATTTAGCAAAAACGTCATCGCTGGTTAATGTTTCAGATGGTAAGATTCATTCATTGTTTAATTATAATCGTTCGTTCTTCCTCAAGAGAAAAGTTTTTGTGACAATTGGTTTGTATGTTTTTGTCATAATACTATTTCAGTTTCTATCTGCGATGCTCGTAATCTTTCCGCAACTAAACTGATCCATGTACATTCACCAACGTGGTCAGCTGGACAGCAAGCTGAATGTATCGGTCAGTTAGATAAAGCCGTGACTAACATTTTACATATGGCTGATGCAAATATGTTGGCATCTGTTGCTTTGCCAAGTGTCAGTAGTGGACAGTAAGATTGAGTTTTATTCAGTTTTAAACGAGTTGTACTCTTATTACGTTTTAGTTGCTGTAACACAAATAACATTACCTGGGCTAGCTTGTTCTTATATATTTCACTGTAATGGACCGCTGTGGAAACAGGATGAACCTATCCAATTGTTGGGAAATACTGTCGAGAAACTGCTTTCAGAAGCAGATAAACAAAATATAGCGTCTATTGCACTGCCATCAATTGGAAGTGGACGGTATGTTTTGTTCATCGGAAAAAATATTAAGAGTACAATTCGTTTTTATTTCGAATAAAAAATTGAAATGTTATAATTAATTTTTCTTTTCTTTTACTAGTGCTGGCTTTCCTAAACAAACAGCAGCACAAACAATATTGCAAGCAATTAGCAAATATTTTAGAACAGTTACAACAAGCAATTTAAAACAGATATTTTTTGTTCTTTATGATGCTGAAAGTGTGAATGTTTATACAACAGAATTACAACGAATGATTGAATAATAAATCAGGAAAATATATGGAACAAAATGTGTCTTCAATTATGAACAGTTATTTTTGTTCCTCCGTCCAGTGATATTTGTATGGTTGTTCGTACGCATTTTTTCAGACGTATCACAATTTTGCTTTTTTTCCCCCTGTGATGATATCTTGTGGATTTAGTAAATGTATTTCTTTTAATATTGTAATCTTGATCATAACACTTTCATACTGATTTTTCAGTGTAATAAATAAATAAGCACAAACGACCCTTCTATGTGTAATTAACTGATATATTTTTCATCAAAACATAGTGCATAACACATGGATCGTTTCTACTTTTTATTTGAGTTTTGTTTATTGTTACTTTCGTATGATTGTAAACAAGCAACCCAATTTTCATATGTGATACAATAACAGTTTATTCATTTACAATTTTATAAATTCAATGGAGTTCATAGTTCTATTAATATTATTTTTTATTGTCGTATTCTTGCTTTTTTTATTGTTTTAATGGGTTTCTTTGTACTATATTAGATATGCTTCATTGTATTATATTGAAGTAGAACAGTATTGAGTTTTGTGTGCTTTTATCTTATTCATTAATTGACAGCTTTTATTTGTGATATTTTTTTAGCTAATTTGTCGCTGTTGTATTATTCATTTATTATAAACAACATCACTATGAAATTGGTTAGCTTATGGAAGTACAAACTGCAGCCATCTAGTCCAGAAATTTCCTCTAAATATCTTCGATCGAATTGTGTAGTGAAAGTTGTTGATGAACAAAAAAACTAAGCGCACTATTTACCAACGTATGAAATATGACACCAAAATATAATGAATATTAGTAGTTATTCATTGACACCATGCTATACTCATTCGGCTCTATTGAGTTAGCGCTTTTCAGAGACAGTACATAGAGTTTTGTTGAAAAACGTAGAATCGAATTTGTTTTATGGACAATGATCAAGTTGTGCCACATGTACTTTAATTGTATTCGCGCACTTTCGTTATATTTTAGAAAACCAGTTTTATTCCTTGTAGATTTATTATTTATTTATTTAAGAATGGACGAAAGTGAACAACAACAACTTAGTTTAACTGATACATTTTGCCACTATACTGATTCAAAAAAACATTATATATTGAAATTGAATAATTCAGCATTAACTATCATTCCATTATTGAATACTAAACAAAATAAAAAACGGGATGAAAACTATCAAGATGTGAATCAAAATAGAAATGGGGATGAACGGCGAATAATCCATTTTCCAATGACATCACCTTCTACTATTACAATTTCTACCGATGATATTTATGGTTGTTTATGTATGCGTTCAAATAAACAAAATAGTCAAGTTTGTCATATAACATTTTATTTATATTCATTATTAGAAAAGACATTTCGTAAAAAAATACAGTATCATCGTTCAAGTAAAACTTATACTTATCAAAAATACAATAATTTTGATCAAAACTATGCGGAAATGATGGAATGGCATAGATTAATAACACAAATTATTAATTTAAAGAGAAATTTGCCAAGTGAGTACATATAAATATTATATAAAAATGTAACTTCTGATTATTCATCTTCTTTTAAAGGTGATCTTGTATCAAAACGTGATAAACGACTATTGGTTTTCATTAATCCAGCTGGCGGAAGTGGAAAAGCATATAAACTATTTATGGAAGGAGTAGTAGGCGTATTTTCCGAAGCAGAACTGCCGTATCATGTTATAATAACTGGTAGTTAATATTTATTTTCTAAAAGCGTATTACTGAGTTTTCATAATGCCAATTCAAAATAATTTGTAGTTAACTTATGATTCATTTTGTAGTTTTGACCTCATAACTATTTTTTGGATGGCTAAGAGTTTTTTATTTATTTTCAATCCAATTATGAGAAAGAGGACTAGAAGATCTTTTTGAAATATAGAAGCAAAACTTGTACAGTCACGCCTGGATTGCCTGACTGTCCATAAGTTAGTTCTGACACTATTAATTTAGATTATGCCGGTCACGCAAAAGAATATGTTCAATCGATAGATCTCAATGAATGGTACGGTATTGTTCTAGCTTCGGGTGATGGGTTGGTTTTTGAGGTACATTCTCCATCAAGTTTCATATGAACAGTCGCTAAATTTGTTTTGTTTAGATAATTAACGGTTTAATGAGTCGTCCAGATTGGCTACAAGCATTAAAATTACCTATTGGTCATTTGCCATGTGGTTCCGGTAACGCATTTATCACAAATATTTTACGATGTAGCAAGTATGTATACATGTCTTGAATTTTCCTACAGTATTTTCGATTTCTTCTCTCTTTTCAAAAGACAAGTTATAATGGATTCTATGGAAAAATTTGTTATTCAAGCGGCTGTTCTTATAGCTACACACAATGTAGTGCCAATGGATATAGCAGTTATTGATACCATCGATGGACAACGATTATTTTCATTTCTTTCCGTTACATGGGCTATAATAGCTGATGTTGATTGTGAAAGTGAGCAATACCGGTTTTTAGGTGAAACTCGATTTACTATTGAAGCTGTCAAACGTATTATTCGTAAGATTACTTTTTAACTTAATTTAATCATTATAATAGTGATTAGTCTTGGTTTAGATCCACGCATATATGATGGAACTATTTATTATCTTCCATACGATAGTACGGATAGTTCGACAACAATATCATATAATTATAGTTCTGTATCATCAATAAATCAATTACATCGTTATCTTTTACCACTAAATGAAGAAATAACGATTGATGATAATAGTAAATGGCGTAGAATAAATGGCCCATTTTTACATGTGCTTGTCTCATCCAAGCCGTGTATTTCGAAAGACGCGTTCGTAGCACCACAGTCTACGTTAGCAGACGGTTATTTAACATTGCAATTTATCCGTAGTGGTGCGACGCGTATCAATTTAGCCCAAACATTTTCAGGTATATCGACTGGAAAATATATTGAGTACGATTTTGTTGAATGGATGCGTGTCAAAGCGTTTCGTATTGTTCCAAACACTAGTGTTGGAAATATGATGGTTGATGGTGAAAGAATACCATGTGGTCCCGTTCAAGGTGAAACTCTTCCAGGTATTGTACGCTGTATGGGTAAATTACCAAATAGTCAACGCGAAACTTCGTGAGTTTCTTTGTTGTCACAATTGATTGCTTTGTAAGATCTCATCTCTTTTTTTTTAACGTTTGATAATAAATGGACTCTTTTCCGTCTCTAATTGGAAAAATCTCATCTATATCCACTGTTATATATTACTGATACAATTTTTAAGGTTTGCTTCGTCACACAATTATTTTCTACTTTTTTTATACGACTTCTATAGTTTTCACTATTGTAACATTATTCTTTTGTTATTTATCTCATCAACGATATTTTCCATGACATTCCGCATTTTGCATTTGGTTGTGTATGTATGCGAGTTTTGAACATTGCTCAACAACTTTGTTAGTTTTGATTTGACTGCTATTTTCTTTTTATTATTTTTACAACAGGTGATTGATAAACACAGTGATTCTCGTGACAGTTATTATTAACTACAAAGTCGTTGTGTGATTTATATATAAATCTTTTTTATAGCATTTTGTTGCCGAATCTATATACATATGTTGTTTTTGTACATTATTACTGTATGCAACAGAGTTCATGTGATTGATGAAAATGCAATTTTTATTAGTCAATTACATGTTTTATATAAATATCACTTGTATAGTTTATAGCTGTTATGCGAATTTAACTTTCACTTGTTTTTAATTTTCTTTTATATACGCTAAATGTAATCAGCTAGACGATTGAATCGCGTAACTCTGCTATGGAAGTATGAGTGTGTTATCGTTTTTACTCTTTTTGTTTATGTTACAATATTTGAAAAGCACACTTTTAGCTACAAAATGAGACATCTCTCAAATTTCTACAATGTTCCTTTCATATATTGTAACATAAACAAGAAGAGTAAAAACGATAACGCACTCACACTCCGATAGTTGAGTTACACAATTCAACTGTAGAGCTGTATCTAATGTTTTGGTTTTCTAATAAAGTGCACAAGTATGGGCAGAAGTAAAAAGACCATAGCAAGGCAAATCTGAATTCTAGTGATTGCATAATGTTCTGAAAGTTTATTACCAAAGTAAATCTAAGATTGTTAGAATGTTGTTGTTTCCTTATCAACATTGATCATAGGTTTATGTGCTCCATAATGCTTATCTGAAAATAAAAAAAATAAATTTAACATTTCAATATATAAAATGAGATGAGATCTCATTAAAATAGATCTTCTTATTCAGAGGTAAAAATTCTGAGCAGTTCATTCAGCTCTTAATGTATGGAGGGAATCAGAATTAAATTTTCTGAAAAAGACAATTTCCGTAATTCCAGAGTTGATTCCGGTCAGATTTTTCAGCTCTGAATTAGTTATTAGAAGAAAAGCTTCATGTAAATAACAAAAGATTTCTAAACTCTGACAAAAATTTAGAATAGTACAAAAATTAGATAACTTTGACTATTATAAATATTTAAGAGCAGTAATATTCTCTTACTCAAGATTATACAAGTTGATTTCGACTCTGATTCAGCTTTTCAGACCGAGCTGATCGACGACAATTACGTTAGACTTTCTTTTGTTTATACGGTAAAAATATTTAAATATAAATAAGAGAATAATTGACACCGTTTTTATCATTTTATTAGAGACGTTTCGTTATGAACTCATAACATCATCAGTCGAAAAATGAAATGAATGAACAAACAATACGAAAGAGTATATATATATATAGACAATACAAAGAGAGAGACAAGGACACAAATTAAAAGAAAACGTTTTCTTTTAATCATTAATTTTTAACGCCCCTCAAACTTATTGTCTTTTTGTAATCAGAATACATTTAATATGAAACTCTTCTGTGAATACATCTGTTTGCCTTTCTTTCTTGTCTGTACCAATCCATAAGTAAACTTTCTTTAATATTTCTTTTTAAGTCATTCGACCCTATTGCTAAGATGTTTGTATCCCAATTATTATTGTGATTTTTATTAAGGCAATGTTCTGCAATTTTGGAGTATCCCATGCCGATTCGACTGATGATGTTATGGGTTCATAACGAAACGTCTCTAATAAAATGATAAAAACAGTGTCAATTATTCTCCTATTTATAGACAATTATGTTGTTAAATAAAATGTAGAGAGAAAGAGAAATATGAACATATTTGAATTAAGAAAAAAGTCGTTTTAACAATTATGAATAGAGGGTAGACTTGAAACAAGTCTGCTTAGTAAAAATCGGAGAAAATTCTTTTATAGCTGCATTTTATATCATCATATTTAAATTATTTACATGTCTCAAATTTGTTTTATATTTATTCATATTTATTTCTCTTTTCCCTTCTTCTCCCTCATTAATGCACCTGTGCACTTATATCACAAATCTTTTTTTTGTCATCTTACTTCCGTTCTCGATGAAACTTTCGAAAATTTGTTTCTATTAGCCGCATATGTTCAAGTTTTTTGTTGAACACTAACCTGAGCACTTCGCGCTTCAATCTGGCAGTGAAATTTGAGAAATACACTCTTTTAAATATAAGAAAAATGTAGAATACTTTTGACTTTCGTAGAGTGGATTAATGTTCAAATGTATACGACATATAAAACTTGTTCATACATTCTTAGAGTAGGATTCCACACATGTTGGATTCTCAACAATGATATTAGTATAAATAATTTCATGTAAAAACAGCGTGAAAACTCAATTTTCATCGGTCTTTTTCAATGTAGGAGACGACAAAAAACATCTAAACATCTAAAATTCTCCTCTATCGATTAGTAGAAATCATAAGTCTGTCATTTTCTTCGTTCAAAAGTTATTCGAAAAATATCTATGCTTTTTCTGTTTTGAGAAGTAAGTTCGTAGAACTCCTGGTATAAATATCAGCTCTTAGGTTCTTGTTGTTGTGGAGAATAACGGCAGATATCGGAGAAAAAGAAGATTTTGTCAAAAAGCAATAGTATCTATTCGATCAGGACAATCTGCCATCGTTTTAAAACCTTTCAAAAACATTTTCTTAATCATTTTTTATGTGTTTTCTTTTTAGTCTAGTCTTTTAGTCTACAAGGAATGCCGTGTATGGCGTGTTCGATACCCCATATAACTATCCTTCCGGATGCTGAATGTGTTCATAAAGTGTGTCCTATATTTAACTTTCCTATGTTTTCATACTGAGATTAGAGTTTTTCATATTTAGTATAGTTATAATAAGAGTCAAAACCCACTGAGGAGAAAGTCCTGTTTTTTTTTGCATTTGTGAAAGTATCACAGTAAATTTTGCACTTGCCAGAAATGTTGAAGTAGAGACCTGCAGTCTAACACACACCTGATGAAACCGATCCGATCTGATCCTAGGGTCGGATCGAATCGGATCGGTTTTTAGAATGTCGATTAGGATTTGGGTTACGTTTGCTCAATCCATACAGGTTTCTACATTCAAGCCCTCTCATAATGCTAATTAAAAGAGAATACAAAGTATTATATTTTCTCTCAAATTTCAGTTTATTCGAGGATTACTAGTACCGTAATGGTTCAAAGTTTATTGACTGTCATACATCTTGTGCAACACACAGATGCAATGAGGTAACCCGTTCTCAGTGCCATTGAACTGAAGAGATAAGCGTTAACGTTTAAAAAACAAAAAAATAATCTATCGTGATTCATTAAATATACAAGATAGTTCGGAATCAGAACACATGAAACAATGTTTCATAATAAAAAAAAATTATTCTAAATATGAAATTGATGATTATTTAATGTATTTCTAATCAGTTTCAACTTTATGACATTCTCTTATTTGTTTAAATTAAAAGTCTCATTTCACTGTCATAATGTATATGTTATTTATTTAATATAGTGGAGTGGCAATAAAATCGTGTTGACACTAATTTAGGATGAGAGCTCTTGATTTTATTATTATCTATATTTTACATATTTTGACAATACTATCTATTTTTTTACACTTCGATAACTTTTGACTTTCTATGCAAACAATATACTTATAATTTGTTTACGTACAAAACAAAATATGATTTTTGTTTCATCTGACACAATTCAACGTTAAAAAGTAAGATTCAAAATTTAAAATATGAAAAATACCTGTTGAAAAATAGTCAGTGCCTTTCAGCATGTTAGTGATTCTTTTGTGTTTTTTTAAAGCTTTTCTGTAAAATATTTGCAGTTATTAGTTCAAAGAAAATTTGACGTGAATTATTCTAGACACGCTTTGTTCTTTTTAAATCAAATAAATGTTTTTATACACACACATACTGAACAAGTTGTTTGTTCGTAGATTTTTTTTTTTTTTCTTCTTTATTTATCCTTTTTCTTATATTTGTTCATTTTTCTTTTATTAGCTATTCTTTTTATTTCTATTTTATTATCAATCGGCATTTTTTTGATGATCTCTTTATAAATTTTCTTTGTACTTTTGCTACTTTTTTTTTTTCAACATTTTTTTTTTTAATTGTCGTTTCATGCTGATAAAAGTGTATGTTTCCTTAACTGTTAATATGATATGAGAATTTAAGAATTTTAGTTACGCTTTATTAAACATAAAATTCTGATATAGTTTTGTTATGTTACGTATATATATATATATATAATCAACAAGGATAACATTAATGTAGCAAATTTCTTCTTCATATTATACTAATGTAATTGCTACGTGACACAAGCAAGTTCAAAACTGATACTTCCACTATAAGAGATTTTTTTATGAAACAAACATATACAGATATAATTCAATTACAATAATAATAAAAAAATAAAAGATTTCTATTCATTTGATTCGCTTTTGTGTTTTTAAGTCTTGTCTTATTCATGTACAAGTGAAGCTTTAGTACTCAATTGTATTGAAAAAACAAACGCCTTCATTGATTTTGCTCGAAAAAATTGACTTAAACTTATCGTTATTCATTACAGTCAATTACATCATAATAATAAATAAAGAAGAGAGTAAATTCTGTTTTCTATACTAAAATTGTTCTTAAGAGTAATAAATAGAGGAAAACCAAAGGAAACAAGAAAAAGATGTGTCGGTAATGCATCGTTTTTATTTCTCCTATTTTCTTCTCTTTTTTTCTCGCATTTCTGTATGTATTTATTTTATAGATGTTCATAAACAACATTTTTTTTTCTCTCTCTCATTTTGAATTATGTTTGAGCATATAGTTTTAGATTTATAAAATATCGTTTGTCATCAATCTAAAATGTAATGCTAAAATGATACTGTCGGATAGTATATCCATCTTATATTTTAGTATATTGTTCATATTGTTTTTGCTTTTTCGACAGAGTAAGTATAAAATAATAGCAAGTTAAATTAAAGAAAACGGTCTATTTTTCAATAATTTAGCCATTCTTACATGTAAGAGACTATAGGATACCTTTATAATATGTCGATGGTCTTCCATACACTGAAAAGAATTTAATTCTCTTAAATTAAATAATATTTAAATTAATAGGTTTTTCATTCCAATGTCTTCAGTGTTCTGAAAATACCCAATATTATTCTCGATCATTAGCGAATGAAACAGCTAGCTGTCTTTATGCTACCAATCATCCAACTTTATGTCCTCATGAAAATGATTCTGCTTGTAAGACATATTTTGAATTATATTCAAAAAGTAAGTAAATTTTATTATTATCTTTTTAAAAAATATAAATCGACTAATAAAATTTTTCTCTAATGTTCAGTTTTTTTTGCTACTTTTTTTCAATATTAAAAAATAAAATAAGAAAGTTGATTTAAATTAAAAAATTTTCAGCAATCATACATCTTACACTTCCACCACCACATTGTTCAATAGTGTTTATATCAAAATTAACGATTGTTAAATTTTCTTGTTGTGTGATAATTTTTATTTGTTCTTCGTTCAATGATTGAAATGCACATTTTGACATGGCTAAATATTTTTTTCCATCATCATTACATATCTCAAGCATATTTCCAGCAAAATTTTTGTTCATTTGTTCAAAAGTGATATCGACAATTATTTTATTTGTTTGTTTTAACCAGTTTACAACTTCTGAACGTTGATTTTCATCAATAATTGAACTTAAACAGATAATAGCAATATTTGTGCCAATGGTCATCATGACATTTGTATGATAAATGGGACGGTTGTCCTGATCCACGCTGTCAAATAAAATTACTTTGTAACCAGTTAATTGTTCAAATTTTTTCAATGGTTGTTCATGTGTTCGTGGGGATCTTATTGCATATGCTAAACCATTTTGTCTATCTAGAACAAGTGAACCAGTACCCTCTAAAAACATGTTACGTTTCTCAAAACAACTTAAATCAATAATAGCCGTAACATAATACATTTTACATAGTTGATCAACAATATCTTTTCGACGTTCCAAGCGACGACTCTCAGCTAACATTGGATACAAAATGATTGTACCATCACTATGTGTTGATATCCAATTATTAGGAAATATGGCATCAGGTTTGACGGGTGTATTTGTATCATCGATAACATCAACATGTATACCAAGATCCTTTATTTGCTGAATCATAGTATTAAATTCAGTGAGTGCTTGTTGTTGGAGTTCTTCATTGGCCGATGCATAAGTTTTGTTTTGAAATGCATTTGAAATAGCTGTTTCTAAATTAAACGTGAAACATGCTGGACGTATCATTAATAATCGTGAAGATGACTGCTGTTTCTGATGCGATACAGGTTGTGGAGATGGCATGTTTTGTATCTAAAAATAAAACTGAAAAATTAAATTCAATAGATATCTGTAGGTAGTATTATGGTATTTTTGTGAACTAAAAAGTAATTTAAAAATAAGTTTCATTTCACATGTTTCTATATCACGTTAACAAAAATTCATTTCAACCTTTTTCTTACTCAATTGAAAAAGAGAAATAAAAGTTAAAACATGTTGAAAATGTTTGTCCTGTTTATTACGAAAAAGAATTCTCATAACTGATAGACGTCTTACTTACACTACTACGTATTTTAATAATTGTGTCACCGAACACACTGATGATTATTATCATTGCATGTTAACCTGATCGAAATATTTCATACAAAACCGATTACAGATTCGCATAGTCGACTATCTTGCACGCAACTAATTTTGGGTCAAAGTTAATAATTTTATATTGTATTTAAGTATTTAAGAAAATATATTAGAAACAGCTAGCTTCCTTGTCTCATAGTTAAAGATTCAAAGCAAAAAAAAAAATTATCAGACAAACACACTTATGACTAATCTCGATTACTTCTGTTTAGTCAATGAGAATCTAATAAAATATTTTTGATTAACGATCCATAAAAATGGTTAGTGAAGCGAGATGAACTCCAATCTATAGGTTATCTTGACTATGAGTATCATCGCGTCTACTTACTACGTATGTTTTTTCTAAACTATCTATGATCTCTCTCATTCTTGTTGTTTTAGGTGTGATGGTATCACGATCGTGTAACAAACATGAAACAGAAGGAAAAAGTGAATGTGATAAAAAAACTTGTATGCATATATGTTTAACAGACGGTTGTAATATCCAACCATTTGATTGGTCTGATTCGTCAATTAAAATAAAATTTTCTTACTTAAATTTTATATTTTTGCTAGTTTTATATAAACTGCATGATGTTAGATAATAAAAATTTTCTAAAAATACGTTGATATAAAGAATTGTAGTAGTGTCCATTTTTCGATTGTTATTCTTTCGTTCATTTTTGAATAAACTGTGTCAGTCCTAACATTCAGATTAGAAGAATGTCATGACTTTTCTTCTCTTATCAAGATACAAAATTTATTGATTATTTTCTAAATAGAAAGAGTTATATGCGTATACTATGAAAAAAAATTAAAACAAATTCATTTTTTGTTTGTGATATTATATTTATACGGCAGAGTCAACCAATCTTTCCCACTTCATAGCATATCAGTAATAAATGTGAATAAATAAATAATAATCGTAAAATACTTGACTATAATGTTCGTCGTAATAATTCACTGAGTGCTGCTGTAACTAAAACACAAAAACGTAAAGATAATTAATAGTTTTTAAATGTTCAATCATTTTTACTTTCAGCTGCTCGGAATGTCGGAATTGAAAATTTGTATTCTAACCATTTACGAAACATTTCACCTAAAATATTCAAAAATTGAATATTGTAATATTCAATAAAAACTATTTATTAGATTCTTCAGATCATACCGTCTTTTAAAATAATGTAATAACCGAGAAGTTGCCGGGCATATAAAAATCCATGATCTGCCAATATTTGTCCATATTTTTTCCCGATTCCTATAAATTGTAATACAAAATTTAACAAACAATTGTACACATTAAGATTTTCTTTACCTGGAATTGCGTGTACTGGTTTTATCGAAACAGGCTCATTAGAAAATTTACACCGTTTATTTGTTATGGCTAAATTTTCTACATACGTCAATGATACAGGCCATGCATTTGTTATTATATCATTATACAACGAGTTTTCTTCATAGTGTGGAGCGATTTGTTGTGTTTGAATTTTTATTTTTGATTCTTCATTTTTGACAACTGGCGATGAAAATGATAGACGAAGATGAGTTGGTTGTTTTTTTAACAGTCTCACTTTTTTTAACCGTAGTGTCTCGTCTTTTTCTCCGCCACAACAACTTCGATTCGTCGATATATGGGTACGGATAAACGACGGCAACAAAAGATTTTTATCTGCTGTTAAATGTTGTTCAAAATACATATCTTTTAGTTTACGATCAAATAATAAATCCTTTTTGTGGGACACGTTGGTCTTTAATAGCTTTTTTTCGAACAAAAAATCTTTTTATACAAATATCCAAAAACACACTTATGCGACTAGAATAAAGTTGGATATGTTTCGAGTCGAATACAATAAGATTTTCGTAGCAAAACCCTTTTTTTTTTATAGATAAAGCTAAACAAATTATAAATACTAAATTTACATCTTCCCGCTAAATTATTAATACGATTTATTTTCTACTTTATGGAAAATCCAGTATGACAATGAAAATTGTCAATGATTACTACATGTATGAGATTACATGAAATTTTACAAAAAAAGTAAAAACATTCATTGTCTACTGACTACTGGTCGTAAAATCAATTTAGATTTCTGTGAAATCGAATCGACTTCCAGTAAAATAAAAACGATTTCTGATAGATTGGAAATCGGTGGTCTTTCTCTAGCAAGAAAAACATTGAATAAAAAAGATTCATTGTAGAGACCCTAGTCCCCGGTGAAAAACATCCTGGGAGAACTTGCAACATCTGATGTTTTCTTATAGAATTTTGTCATCTTGTAAGGTTAGATAGAATATTATCATAAGATGGATGGTTCAGGATGTGATTTTATCTACCATCTCTACCAACTTTCCTTGTGTTCTAAGGTATATACTTAGCTGTACCAATAAGATATTTTATCCAATTTGTTGAATCTTCTCTCTTCCAGATCGTAAAGAGATATCGTTATTTAGAAATTTTGCTTATAATCAATACCCGACACAGCTCTTTCTTCTTTTTCCGACTAGTATCAAGCAGCACGAGAGAATATAGTAAATCAGAAATCAGATTTCACTCTTTTTTTAGAAGAAATTCAGTTAGATTTATCTTTCAAGCACTACTATTTATTGTGTTTATTTTCCGTTTACTTTCAAATTGTCAAGATTCAAGATCATTATCATTTTTCTAGAAACTTAATTAACTTCCTTTATACTCCCGTCCACATTTTTTTAAGATGACCAATTTGAGATGAATATCAGATATGTTATAGATATTGCTCCATCATTTTGAGTTTAGAACAGTTTCTTATACGTTCTAATATTGATTTGAAGAGTGAAATTCTTTTACTTCTGAGTTCATTTAAATTATCTCTTTTACGGTTCCTTTTTCTGGTCTCTTTCTAAAGATCTGAGCAGAATCTCATTATTTACATTTGCTATCAGCAATTAGAAAAAGTACAATCAAGAGCCCGAAAGAGACGAATGACAATTTATTATGAGAGAAAAAGACCCATTTATAGCATACATACATGTAGTATTTATTTATTTTTTATTTTTTATTATTATTTATTATTATTGCTTTATTTCACTAGCTATGCCATAAACGCCCCTGACTATGCTCATAAAGAAGGAAGGAATACAATTTAGCAAAGATCAGTTGTTGATGAAATGTAGAACTGCATCGAGGTACCTCGTGTTAATCCGTTCCCAGCGTGTGACGTACCGTGATGGTTGTCCCTCGTGTAAATCTTGAAGGAAATGATGCTCTTGATGCATCAAAAAGTACATTTAAGTTGCTTTCTGCTGAACTGCTTGAAAAATTCTGACATTAGTGTCAGTGTTTTTGAGATGAACATCGATAAAAAGCGTTTGGTTCTCATGTGTACCATTTTAAATTTATCAGTAAACGCTATTTCGGCATTCGTTGCGTCCCATCATTGATGAATTAACCGATGAAATTTAATTTTTCGCTTCTGATTGTTCTATTGCAGTATTCTATTCCTAGCGGCCAAACAACTTAGATTTGTGTAAGTATGGCTAAATATACGCGCTGAATACCAAACGTCGTGTACGCAATGCGAAAAAAGTGCCTTTGGTGAGGTTTAGGGCACATGAAAGTGCCCTTAGTGTGCCACAGTAAACATGACAACAAAAAGCAGAGCACTTCCATGTGCCCTAAATCACCAAAGAGCACTTTTCTTCGCAGTGCGTAGATTTATCGTTTTAGATCTCATAGCCAGGTGCAGAATCCTCGTATTTCTTTTTTAATTTTTTCATCCATCTTTTTCACACAAGCATCAAAAGTCAGGTTTTCGTTGACATTAAAAGCCTACATATTTGAAAACATTGATTCGTGAGGGTGATGCCTGACCGTATTTCAAAACAATGTCAGGCAGAGAGATTCGAACATGTATTCATTGCCAATGTGTTTTCTTCAGGTTCACGGGCTGTTTTCTGTGCGTCGCGTATTTTTCTAACTCATCGAGCACTTTTTTGGTCTTAAACTTGAATTTTCATTCCAAAGCCTTCGCTACTCCAAAATGACGAAGGCCATATGATCATTTCGAGATTAGGCATGCAACAATCACAAACTAGGAATCGCTGATCGGCACCGAACGGTTTGTTACCGAACATGTTCGGTCACCAAACGGTTCGCTACTGAACATGTTCGCTGCCGATCAGCGAGCCCTAGCTTGGGATGGTTGCATACCTGATCTGGACTAAAGGCAAATTGAATGAAATTGAAGCTTTTGAAGGAACTAACCAGTGAGAAAATAGACTAGAGCAAATGTGTCTTCTACTGAATCGCTACCAAAGGTTTAAAAAAAATAGTTTGTCAAAGCTAAGAACATGAAAACGAAGAAACACATGAAAGAAAGCTTTGTAAAACAGAAAAAATGGTGAAGATTACATCAAACGGAGGAGCAGCCTTGATTACGCCGTAGCCGTAGGTAGTCATGTAAAGAAAAGTTTGAATCAGAGCAGCAAATTTATGTTTACTTTATTCCAGGAAGTTGAAAGTACCTTTAGTTTCCATTATATCTGATTTACTCTCTAATTACTTACTAACGTGGCCTCTGTA